AATCTGCTATCTGCTACAATAGATATTCCATTATGTGTATAGAAGTATGAAAGTTTGCTATTTTTTTAATATCCACCATTTAACATAGACCATCTGAGATGCAGTTGAAGGCTTGCCCCCGTAGCTGAAGGAATGCCCACCTAGAAATTAAGAAAGCAATGCATTAATGCCCCCAAATTTCTTTGTAGAAATATAAACTAAGGCAGGGGTTCTTAAACTCTTTAATCTGAGGAAGCAAATAAGAAAACTGTTACCGTATAGGAACCTACAATAAATTGTTAATGTACTCGTACTCATTATCGTACCTATTACTAAAATGTCAGCAGAGCCATACAAAGACAAATAACAATGGCTGAATAATAATAAAAAACAAACATACAAACATTTGTTTCTATTCAAGTATAATTTTTTTCTCATGTATGAGGCTGTGTTCACATCATGTCTGGACCAGATCTGGAGCAGATCTGCAAAAGCAGTTTTGCTGTGTTTTTGCCACTTTTAGCTTAAATGTGCTTACAGGTGCAGTCCAGTGCGTTCCATGCCTTTTGTATGTGTTTTTGATGCGTTTCCATGCGTTCCAGTGCATTCCAGATCAGAGAAAATTAGATAAGCAGTATTATTTTTGTCTGGACTGGAATGGACTGCGCTGGCGTGAACAGAGCCCAGAAATACCATAGGAATAAATTTGGCTGCATTTTTTGGTCTGGGAACAAAAGATTCTGGTCTGGACATGATCCGGACATGGTGTGAACAAGCCCTGCAGTAAAATGAAAAGCTAGCATATTGTTAATAAAACAATAGCTGTAATGTAAAACAGAGAATAGATTCCTGAGTGTCATCCCATTAGGAGTGTGAAAGACCTGGGGCACCCCTGGACACTTCAAGAAGAACAATGCTGAGGTGCACACAGTGTGCCTCAACAAGCATTGGGCATGGTCACAACATGCTGGCAGTCCTTATTAGACATGTAAGTTTTGTTTCATTGCAAACTGAAATTTGGACAAATTTATTTAAATTTTGAAATTTGGATGCATCTGAATTTCCAAATTTGAGTACAAGAACAAATCCAAATATATTTTCTGAATTACATCCGGATTTCCAAATTTCCAATTCTAATGACCAATACTGACAAAGAAGAGAAGTGTTTTCCCACAAGTACATTGATGGTCAGTGGTGTGCCCTCCCTTCCCAGAAAAAGCATTGGTGTACAGTGGTCAGTAGTGCTTTGCTCTCCCTTTCTGAAAATAATTGGTGTCCAGTGGTGGCTTTACTCTCCCTGAAAAGCATTAGTGTTCAGTGGTGCTCCCTACCACAAAAAAGCATTGGTGTTTGGAGGTAAGTGGTGTTTCCCCCACAAAAAGCTTTGTGTGTTCAGTGGTCAGTGGTGCTCCCCCCAGAAAAGCATTGGTGTTCAGTGGTCAGTGGTGTTCCTCCCTGAAAAGCATTGGTGTTCAGCAGTAAGTGGTGTCCTCACCCATAAAAAGCATTATTGTTCAGTGGTCAGTAGTGCCCCCCAAAAAGCATTAGTGTTTGGTGGTCAGTAGTATTTCCCCCTCTCAATCTTCCCTGAAAAGCATTTGTGTTCAGCATGAGGCAGTGCAGATATCACTAACCTCACTCCTGCGTTGTGTTTCCCACCGCTGCCTGTGTGGTAATGTCACTGCTGGAATTATGCTCATACTATTAAGCAGGAGATTACTCAGAATGGCAGTTTGTTCTAAAATACGGGACAGTTGGAAGGTATAAGGGTGGCAGCAGGTTGGCAGTGGCTGTGGGTGCTTGTAGAGGCAACGCAGTGGCATATGGGTGTGTGCAGTACTTTAGAAACAAGTTACTGCAAAGTAGAAAAGGGTAGAGGCTGATCACTGAGGGTCAGAAGGACAGAAGGGAGAAAACAAAAATCACTAAAGGAGGTAGAGTTCCTTCAAAGGCAAAATGGAAGTACAGTAGGACTTGGCTATTATATTTTATTAGGGAAATTAGAGATTGAGACAAAACAGCCCCAATGGGTCCAGGGCAGTGTCCTGGATGTGGTTTACCTGCCCCCTAGACTGTGGCATATTGTGATAAGCTGGTGGTAGTAAACATAGACCTCTGTATGGGAAAAACTATTTTGCAGGCATCCCAAGACTGTATTGTTTGAAGGTGCAAACACTGTGAGCTATACCACATAGTTCACTACTGTGTTCGTTCTGAATCTGTAGAATAGAGAACTTCATAGACATGTGTGATTCGTTTCGTTCCAAATCGAAATTCAGACAAAATTCAGAGATTCGAATGTATCCGATTTCCAAATTACAGATATAACGAATGTAAACGAATCTGAATTTACGATTCTGAAATTCGTAAGCGGTAGTCTATACGAATTGTCGTTTCATATTTGTTTCATTCGTTCACTGCATACAAAAAGTATAATGACCCCTCGGCACCTCACAGACCCGAATGGCATTCGGGAGATCACAGGAGGATGTCAATAGCGGGAGATGTCATTTTGCAGCGAGTTTTCGTCGGGATCAGGCGGTCGTCGTGTGGCGGGACTTTTTTTATTTCATCGGGTCGGTGGGTGTCGTGCATCGTGATTGACGCTGGATTACATCGATGGAGCCATTTTTTAAATTAAAGTAATAGTCAAAAAATTACTGTATTTTTTTTCAATTAAAATATTTTTTCTAAAAGTGTGGTTAGTTTATTTACTTTGAACCCTTTACTGAATGAGTACAAGTACCCCTTACTCATTCACAAGGGGGGGCAGCATCTGGGTGCCCATAAATTAAAGGGTACCCCGATGCAATAAGCCCCCTTGCCCGCACCCCCACAACCACCGGGTCAGGGTTGCTTGGAAGAGGCCCTTGTCCCCATCGGCATGGGGACACCCTCCCAATGCCGAGGGCATGTGGCCTGGTAAGGCACAGGGAGGGGGGGCGCCCCACTTTCCTGCCCTGCCGGGCCTGTGCTCAGATCAAGGGTCTGGTAGGAATGTTAGGGGGGACCCCACTTTTTCCCCCCATTTTTTAGAGCTGGGGTTCTCCCTTAAAATTCCTTCAGACCTAAAGAGCCTGGTATGGATTTTGGGGGGAACCCCACACACTTTTTTTTGTTTTAACTTGGATGGGGTCCCTCCTAACATTCCTACCAGACTTAAAGGGTCTGGTATGAATTGGGGGAGAACGTGATGCTTTTCTTTTTTCCTCTTCAGCAGACTGTAAAACAATTTTTTTTCCCCCTCAAATGTCACTTTGCTGCAACGAACGAATGAACGAACAAGACGAAAACAAAATGACTATTCTTACAGACTACTGCTGACGAATTTAGTCTGAATCCCGAAACGAATTGACTTTCGGACCCAAAAAACAAAATAAAACAAAATCCTAATCAAAACTAAATGAAACGAAACAAATGTTTTGCCGGTGCACATGTCTAGAACTTAATAAGGCATTGCTTCAAGCCAATGCTGCCCAAAAACAGGCCACTGCCACTCAGCATCAGGTTCATCAGCAGAACCTAGCCCAGCAACAAGAAACTAATAGACTGTTGGCTGCCCAACTAGCAAGCACTGATCCTCAGGTGACTGCTTTGAACCAGGCCAAGAGTGTACCAACAGACTGCTAGCATCGAACCTGCTACCAGGGCAAAAAGGAAGCCTAGGGGCGTGCCATTACCCGCAGCTCGGCTTTTTGATTGTCTGGGAAGCCGGTTCCATGTTCCCTCATGGCACTGCTGGTAAGAGGAAATCTCCTTCTGACCAAAAGTTCTGGTATTGGGGAAGGTATCGGTGAATTCGGGTGAGTACTTGCCCAAATACTTGGTATCGGCACCGATACTAGTATCAGTGTATCCCTAATCCCTTCCCCTAGCAATTTTTGATGGCAAACAGGTGTCCCTAGAGACTACCCTGGTGCTCCTTGGGGTAGAAGTTTTGGGACAAATTTGGAACAACCCAGTTACATGACCCCACTCTTGCAATGTAAAGCATTGTAAAATGTAAAGGTAAATAATGAGAACTCATTATTTACCTTTACAGTTGCGAATATGTTGCAGCCCACCATGAACTGTTGTACCAGACTGATACAATTCAGGGTTAAGTTGTGGAACAACTTGTTGTGCTGGGGCCTTTCTGGAGGACAATGTTTGATTTAACCCACATACAAACCGGTTGCGGTATACTGAGCCTAGGGTGATGGGAGGACGCTAGTTTGTGTCCTCCCGTTACCCTAAGGAGAACTATGGGGAAAAGCCTTAACCCCGTAGTTCGCCTTTAAATTCACTTTTTGTGCCTGGACTTCCTCCTTGCAAGCTCTGTTTGAATCTGACCCCTATAAGATGTATGTTTTCTTCACATATACATTTATAAGCAATCAGCTTGTTGTAAATAATATTCAATCAATGTGTTAGCCGTTTGCAAAAATTTTTTTTTTCTGTGTATAGTTTGTAGATACATTTTATATATAGATTTTCCCTTTACATATACAGGCTTTGCTAGCGTAGTAGTTAGGCTACCCTGCCACTTGTGGCTAATCTACACATTTCTACATTTGATAAAATAATGTGGAAGTCAATTAAACATCACTTTACATAAACATAGCAATAATAACATGCACTCAACGAAAATATAAAATATGGTCCCTTAAGGATCAGCTTTGATTTTAATGGTAATAGACAAATTAATGCAAAGTTCAGTATAATGAAAACCAGAAATCAGCTTTCAGCTGATGAGAGTGGACAGGCTGACTCCTAATTGTTTCCAGTGGATTACTACACACCACTGCGCTCTTCACTGTATGCAAAAGAGTGCCTGAGGATTAGGATTTGGCTACATCCCACTTCACCAGTGCATGAATTAGGTAAAAGAAGGGACTTGTTAAGTGGAATTAAGGGCAGTCATTCCAGTTTCAGAAAAGTAAATGGGGAAATATTTTTAGCTAAATAAACTAAAGGCACAATGCAGCAAATGACCACTATTTTCAAAGGCAAACATTACCACTTAAAGTTAGCACATACAGTATTTAATTTTCTAAATAAAACATTGAATGTAGCTTAGCTATGTATATGTCAACTATACTAATATATTGGTTTAACACAAACGTCTGAATTGTGAAATGTAAAGGTAAAAAAAATAAGGTTTAAATTACTTGTGAAGCCTTCAATATACTGTACATGTTGGGTAAAGTACAGTCATAGAGTAATTCTACTGTGTATGCAGTGTAACAAAAAGTACCTTTTTAGGATGAGAAGGATGACTACACCACTGCAGTTTCTGAAGCTGGTGGGTTAGCATTGTCATCCTTTTACTCTGGGTTCACACCTTAGCGTATTGGAAACTCGCGTTTGCTGCGCGTTTCTTACCGCGCGGTTTTACAGCGATTTGCGGTAAAAGAAACGCGTGGCAAACGCGAGTTTCCGAGGGGGTATCCGGCTGTATCCTGATGGATACAGCGGGAAAATACGCCCCAAAGAAGCTCCTGTACTTCTTTGGGCATATGGCGTTTTACTTCGCGATCGTAAGCGCGGTAAAACGCGCAGGTGAGAACCATGCCCATGGGCAAACATGGGTTCTCACCTGTTCCGCGTTTTACAGAGCGTAGAAACGCGCGGTAAAACGCTCAGGTGTGAACCGGGCCTTACAGGAAATCCAATGGACACAACAACAACTGAAAGGATCACCAGGTAATATTTTAGAAGGCTAGAACCAGAAATAAAAATATTAGGTTCTGCAAGTTTAAGGCTCCATTCACACATGTCGTTTGCGCTTTCCATGCAGAAAACTGTGCGGCACGAAATTTAACAAATTTTAAAATACATGCGGATTCCGCGTGTTTGCGGCTATTTCTATTTCCGCCTGGAATATCGCACTCGGGCTATTTTGTGCGTCGAGCGTTTTGGTACTGTTGCACGTTTTGGTACGCTGCACAAGTGTTAACAGTATACGTTTAAATGTATCAATTTTCATGTTTAGCGCCTTTCCGCTCATACGAATACATGCAAAAAACTGCTAATATGTTAAAGGAGCAGATCAGCAAAATATTTAATAATGATTTTTGTTTTTACATACACAATAAATATACTTAGAACAAATGATAACTCGCACCCCCTTTCCCCCCTCACCACATGCAATCCATTATCATTTGACACATAAGATGTTTTTGAAACTGCTTGATTTGATTGCTTGATTGATTTTTTTTTCTTTTAAAATATGTTAACTCTTTAAAGAAAGACAATATTAAGACCCTCTTTTTTCTACTACATTGGGGATGTGTATAAAATGTTAACTATGACCTACCTCTATGGAAACCATTGCTTTTAAAAAATACCACATGTATAGTCACTGCTGCTTTTAGTGTTATTACAGGTCTACTTTGTGTAGTAGAAAAGTCAGTTATTGGGGTTCCTAAATAAAACACTTGTGTAAGCTAGCTGTGGTTTTAAATAGATTAATAAAATGTTTGTCATTTGATAAACATCCTTCTTTTCTTGAATGTGTAAATATGGGTCTATTGCTGATAAGTAACGCTAGACTGGATTTGTTTTTGGTTTGACACAATGGCATCCTCTGGTGGTGAGATTTATGAAAAACATTTTTAAGCTTCTAATAGAATAAAAGCTGAGTTAGAAATGAAATCATAAAACATTATTACAATTAAAAAAGCATATAATAAAATAATAGTTTAATGTCATGGTTAAAGGCCAATTCTGGCACCAGCATTTTTAATCACTGTCACAAACAAAGAAGATATGCTTAAAATAGGTAATGTTCCTAATATATAATGTTTGTTGAGCACTGAGCTTATTGCTTTACTTGCAGTACAAAGTGAATGGAATATGTGATATGTATTCCTTGATACTGTTTATCATTTGTTGCAGAGTTCTGCGAGTCATACAGGCATATTATATTTAAAAAAAGACGAAATTTCACAAAACCTAACCTACTTTAAATCTTCTTTACTGCTTTTGTTGCATAGTAGCAGGGTCTCCAGTCAATGTATTCAATTTTAAAAGACTTTCAGTTGTGAAAGTCTATTGATACAACCACGAGTGACACCGGTAATAGTATGAAGTTAAATACTGTGCAGTGTAATGTTACGTTTTATATTGCTAGATGCTACTTCTACTTTAATTACTGATATATTTTTGATACATGAATGGTAGGAATGAGGTTCAGATTCATTACTTACATAAGTTGGAAGTGAATCCTGTGGGTTTAAGATTCGTGGTCTTAGTGAATCTATGTGCGGATTCACCCAGGGGAATCTTTTTAAAACAATAATGCATTGCATGGCTTTGAACTATGGCCAGCAGGCTTAGAATAGGCAATAAGTGGGCCAATGGAAAAGCAAGCACCCATGACTTTGGAGAGGGAAAGGGGCACAGAGCAGCCAAACTGTTAATCTATTGGAAGATGCTGTAGGGAAAGAATAGGGAAAGCTTACAAACTATAGAGTTAAATTAGGGTCAGTTAGGGAATTGTACTTTAATCCTAAATGTTAGCCTTTTGGGCAATTAACAAGCTTGTTGCTATTCTTTTTTTTTTTTTTGCTTTTATTATTAGGGGTTTTTTGGGCTTTAATTTTATTTTCCGGTTGGTTAGAGGTCAGACAGCTTCCTATTGTCAACAGTTGCTAAAGAAGTGATGGGTGCAGGTATCTTTAGCATCCACTAATTCACTAACATGGCCAGGTATCCCTGGCCACATAAGCAAAGGGGCATGGATAGTGGTGACATTATGGCCCAAATATAGGTATGGCCATATTTAGTAAATGGCCACTATTCCCGCCTCTCCCTTTATATTACAGATGGCAGCTTGGGGAGCTGCCATTTGGCACTAATCTTCATCTGCATCGCACCCCAGCAGCAGCAGCAGGTAAGAAGAGTTGGGAGGAGGTAAAGGGAAAGGGACCCCAACGACCAGACCAGCCCACCTGGGACCCTGCAGAGCCCACTGTCTCAGGTGGGCTATGCAGGATCTATGGTGTGCTCTGCAGGGTCTCAGGTAAGTCCAGCACACTATTGCAACATTAGAGGCCGGTGGGGAGGGGGGTGAGGGGTAGTGTGATTAGGTCCGCCACTGATGGGCATACCTACTATTACACCTCAATAGTGGGAGATTTTATTGCTATTTAGCCACATGGGAAAGGGGGAATCCAAGGAGTACCTTCAGGCTTTCAAGAAGCATGAATTACACATCTGATTTCCTGGCTGATGACTCTAAGCTCTCTCGTTGGTAACTGTTGCATGTTCTAATAAGGATTCTGCCATTACCTAAATGTGGATGACTGAAGTATGTGGGATATTGTAGAGAACTAGCTTTAGGTAAAGCATTAAAAAGGCTTTATGTGTGAATTTGGCCTTCTACTACACTCAAGATGAGGACTTCTCCTGGGAACTAGATTGTGAGATCTGGACTGCTGCTGTGAGAACTGAGGAATGCAGGTGTGAAGACCTCTGATGTATACTGGTTAGGCCAGGCCCGGTGTGTATCAAAGGTGGGCTCTGCCACTAAGGGTCAAGGTGCAGACATTCCACCCATGACTATGAACACTCTGAGAGCCCTTTGTCCCATAGTATCCCAGGGGAGGTCTGAGTAAGAACAGAGGTGGTCAGGCAGTGATGGGTTAATGGAACATGCAATGAATCCCTGGCAGCTCACACATGCAGATCATGCAGCCGAGCACATGCCCACTGTCACATTACACTACTACTATATATATGTATGGGGATACTACACATATGTTACTTTTTTACTGTCCAACTGCACAGAAGTGCTCAAAATCCAGGGAGCACATTCAGACACTGGTGCTGACTGTAATCATGCAATTGTATTGGCTGTAATTAGATACTGGTATTGGCTGACACTGGAACAGGTACTGACTGTAATCAGGCATTGGTACTGACTGGTGGTGGTACTGGCTGTAATAAGGCACCGGTCCTGGCTGTAATCAGGCACTTGTATTGACTGTAATCAAGCACTGGTACTGGCTGTAATCAGGCACTGTACTGGCTGGATCTAGTTGTAATCAGGCACTGTAATGGGCTGTTATAAAACACTGGTACTAGCTGTTCCTGGCACTGGCTGTTTACCTTGGGATTAACTGTGATATGCAGTGGGGAAATGCTTGTCCTTCAGTGGCAGCATTTTATCTTTTTTAAAGTGGGTTTCTTGGAAGAAAGCAATCTAATCCTCTGTCTACACAGGTTAGTAAGTATCATTCTAAGTTTTTCTGGAATGTTCAGCTCCTTTGCATTCAGGGACCATGTGAAAATGAAGGACATACATAGTTCAAAAGTGTAGATATGGTGTGGAATGTGGTGGGTGTCAAGTAGGGAACTAGAGGGAAAGTGTAGGAGTTTGAAGAGGGAAAGATGCAAGTGCAATCGGCAAGGGTTTGTAAGGAAAGAAGGAAAGAGACAGGAAATAGTAGGGGTAGGATGGTCATTGTTTTAACTGGGAACAAGAAATAAAATAATATATTTTTCTACTGAAACATATTCTGTTGATACATTCTACATTTCCTTTTTTGCAGCTTGCATTTCATATTAAAAGTTCAAGACTATTTGAAAAGTGAAAGTCGTTTTATAATTGTCATCAAATGTATCATTAATTATATCTATATCTGTGAGCTAAGCTTAACATTGGCCATTATCATTTTAAATTGCTCACTGGCTGGAATGATTTTGCAAGTTCGTTTATATTTCTGATTACATAATGTCATTATTTAATGTGGATGAATGCTTTTGCATAGAACTGTAATTTGTATCACATTTTTAAGGGTTGCAAGATGGGACATTATAAAATTACACAATTACTAAGCACCAAGCATTCTGATTAGTCTTAGGGCTGGCTGATGTGTGCTTTCAATAATATTGTATGTGTATGTTCAATGAAAAATTGTAACAATATAAGACATTCATAGCTACAGTGTGTTCTCTAAACATGAATTACATATATTACAAATTCCAGCAGTGTATGGGCATGGATAGGTGTACTGTGTGCCCAAATTCAAGGTGCAATGGCCCACC